ATAGAATGTGTGTAGCTTTACGGCATCAATTCCTGTGGAATTTCGAAAGAAATTTAAGCCGAAGATCGCAGCTAAAGCACTACTTCTTCCACGATCCTGCTCCACCATTCTCTTTGGCGGCAAAAATGACTGGATTGGTACTGTTTTCCGATGGCTAATTTCTATCTACTCGCCGTGAGAACAGGAAATATTTCAGCCCAACCAAGCAGACAAGCTCAATATAGGCCACATTGCAGCTAAAAAGTCACATACAATGTAATTCATCTGTTTTTGGAAAATGGACAGTAAAAGCTCTGTTAATGAACCTTTGCTTGAACTTATCAATAAATATCAATTCAGTAAAACTCTTATTTCATATTACTTTAGATTTAAGATTTTATAATTAATAAGTACAAATTCAGTTAAATTATTATTTTATCCTATTTCAAATTTAAAATTTCATAATTGATAAGTACAAATTCAATTAAATTCTTATTTCATGATATAGTTAACAGATAATTTGACATGATAACATTAAAGACGCAGTTAGAGTGGAAAATTTCCTAGTTATCTATTAAATGGTGAGTACACTGAGTAGAGCAAAGCTTAATGCATGCTGCCTAAAAGTTTAAGCAACACTTGGACAAAGGCCATCTTCCCTATCAACATTTGGACAAAGTTTCCTCATCCAACTCAAAAGATGGAGAAAGAATGAGATTAGATGACGGAGACATCAGGGATGAGTTGGTTAGAAGGGCAAAAAGTAAGAAAGGGAGACGATTCAAGTGAAAGGCTTATTCTCTTTCTCCCTCGAGAGAGAAAAGAGGAGATATTGTGGAGGAAATGACAGTGAGATTTGCCTAAAAGGCTTCCCTTTCTTGTAGGATATAATGTGGCTTATTGTTTCTCCTATATCTATTTTTAGCTACTGTCCCATTCCTGTTTCTTTAGAAAACTTATTTTAAGCGTTATGATTTTAAGGCTTAAAAGTTGCATTTCTTGAGATGAAATTTAAAAGGATCAACTTTCAGTGTAAAATATACTTTAACAACACAAGTTGAATTTTCAAGTTTTCTCTTCTATCCCTAAAGCTCTTAATTAGCTCAAGTTATCTATTCTATCACCTTTACCTAGCGAGCAGGGGTTTGAGAAATGAAAAGCAAGAATGAAAAAGTGTTCCACATTAATCACAATCCTAAGAACCTTTTAGCAATGATGTTGCCCAACTTATTAAAAAAGCAATATTAATATATTTATAATATTATAAAAATTATAATTATAATATATCATCACATGAATAAATATATATAATATTATAAATATAAATGTTTAAATAAAAGAAAGTTATACAATAATGCATTATAATAATTAAAAAAAAAACTAAAAAAGAAATAAAACATTAATTTGCTCATAAAAACCAGAAATTCTCGCTACGGCACACATGTATCAAAAAGAAACGTGAGAAAAAGAGTGACTACATATTGCCATTACTTTTGGGCTGAAATTCCAGGCCTTCTTTTCTCAACCTGCTACTGTTTTTGCTAAACAGCGACTCTATCTCTTCTAATGATCTTCCTTTTGTCTCCGGATATAGAAAAAAGAAGAACAACCAAGCAATCACTGCCACTCCACCAAACATGAAGAAACTACCTCCAATTGTGATTGCTTTAGAGATGGAAAGAAAGCTCATAGAAACTGTGGCATTCATAATCCTATTCACTGCAACACACAGACTCATTCCTTGGGCCCTTAACCTCAATGGAAATATCTCCGTGCTGTAGACCCAAGTCATAGGTCCAAGCCCAATGGAATAAAATGCAATGAATATGTATGTAGCAGCAATACTAAGAACTAATGCCCATAGAAGCTTCTCCCCAGACCGTTCCGCCACGGTCAGTCCAAAACCTAATGCTGTTAGTGCCATAACCATACCTCCGAGACTCGTCAATAGAAGCTTTCTCCTCCCAATTCTATCTAGGAAAAATGTAGCCACTAATATGAACATAGTCTTGGTTAGACCGACACCGATTGTGGCGAGCAAGAGCTTGTTCTTGTCCTTCACTCCGGCTTGCTTGAAAATTCTTGGACTATATAACACGACTGCTTCGATGCCGGTTGCATGCTGGAAGAAATGTATTCCAATGGCAGCTAGTAAGATCCAGCGGACGGTGGGGGTTGGCCTTAGGAAGATTTCTTTCCATACGCCTTTGCCACCAGTGTTTTGAGGATTGTTGGTCACTTGTTGAGTGCATTTGTCATCAATTCCCGCGGCCGTTTTGATGTCGCGGAAGCGGATTTCGGCTTCTTCCTTACTGTTGCAAATTTGGAGGAGTATTTTCTGGGCGTCCTCTAAACGGCCTTGTAAGACGAGCCACCGCGGTGACTCCGGCAACTTTAGTATTCCAAATGCTAAGGCGAGAGAAGGGATGGCTGCAATTCCAAGCATCATTCTCCAGCCGAGTTTGAGGGTTAGCTTGGCGAAGAAGTAATTGGAGACGTAGCCAAGTAAGATGCCGAGGCTGATGCAAAATTCCGGTAGGGAGGTTAAGAAACCTCGTGTCGAAGGGGAGGAAATCTCGGCGGAGTAAACTGGGGCGATCATGAGCGCGAACCCGACTCCAATGCCAGCCGTGCATCTTCCGACCATTAGGACAGCGTAGTTTGGGCTGTAACCCATCAGAACTGCGCCGATGAGGAAAATTATGGAGGCCAAGACGATTGTGTAGCGACGTCCGATATAGTCGGAGGTTCTTCCGGCAGAAACAGAACCAATCAAGGCACATAAGTTTAGAATTCCGGCCAGAACTTCCACCTGTTCGTCACTGATTTTCAAGTCTTCCTTTATGAATATCATTGCCCCACTCATGACACCGGTGTCTGAAATTGAAAACAGAACAATAAATTAAAGTTTGCAATGTTTAACGTTTGTAAATAAAACATTCATAAACATGTTTTTTTTTTTTTTTTATGTAACACATTTTAATAAAATAAATAAATAATTCATGTTAAGATTATGAAATTTATGATAAATTATTTAATTTTAATGAAAGTTTAATTATATTAAAATTAAAGTAATCAGTAAAATTCTTCAAAAACATGATGAACAGATATGACATAATATGAAAATGAAATGAAAACCATAATGAGAAAGAATTAAGATGGCAAACATCATTACCGTAGCCAAATATGATGGATATCATGGATGCAACAATAGCACAAGCGCAAGCATACTTGTTGAACCCCGTCCGGCTGTCTCCGGCGCCGCCACTTTCTGCCATCGTTTCTCTTGATTCCTATGATCCTATCTGTGTTCTCAAAATGTGGGTTTGTTTGTCTTGAGAACTCTGCAGTCTCCACGGGAGCTCTCCTGTTGTATATATAGAAAGAAAGATCAAAGATGGGAGGCGAAGGGAAGTAAACGTTTGTTGACCTGACTGCTGGTGGGACCCACGTAAGATCGTGCTGGCAATTGGATAGATACGTTGTACAGCTAAGTTTTCGGGATTTCCGATTAGGCACAAATGGTGGTGCATACAAAAATTGTTTTTTTTTTTTTCTTTATTCTCATAATAATAAATATGTTTTATTATAAATATTCTTTTTTTAGTTAATTTTATAATTATCCTTTATTGTATATTTGAATTGAGAATAACAGAAGAAAAAAAAGAAAAAGAAGATATTTTTTAATTAATTAAATTATAATATTTTAAAAATATTATAATTTGATTGGTTAAATTTTTTTTAAATATTTTCAATCTAAATATTTTATTAATTTTAATTGTTCATTATATCATAAAAAATTTCTTTATTTTTATTATTTTAAAATAAAATAATTAAAAATATAAATTATTTTTAATTCCTTAATATAAGAATAAAAGGTAAAAGAAATATCAATTAGAATGGGAGGAGTATAAATTTATATGTGATTAAATAAGTAATTAATATATATAATATCATAAGTCTTAATATATAATAAAAAAGTCAATAAATAATATATGAAATTAGTGTTTATTTGTTTTATTTATTAAATATTAAAAAGATAATTATTATAAAACTATATCATTATACTATGAGAAATAATCAAAAAAAGTCTATTTCATTATTTAAAAATAAAATATTTTAAAATTTTAATAAAAATTTATTAAAATAACATAATTTTAAAATAATTTTTTATTTTATTTTTAAAAGAGAGGATAAATTGATATTATTCTCCAAACATATAAAATTATATAAGAAAAATCACTCCTTACCATACAAATTAATTTTAATTAGACAAATAAAGGAGAGTTGACGATAATTATGTAGGATCGGCCGTGTCAGCAAATTAAATGTTGTTTCCGATAACATTTTAAGGATTGCGTCTGACTCGAGGCTACAAGGATAATGATAGATTTATTACATATGTTTATTATTAATCTAAATAAAAAGTAAAAAATAATTTTAATTTAATTAATTATTTAATTAAAATATTTATATACTATAAATATTAAAAATAAAATTTATTTTGATCATAATTTTTATATAAATTAATAATAAAAATATAATAAATGTATTTTAATTTAAAAATAATTTAAAATAACTTTTTATATTATTTTGATATAATTTTATATATTATTTAAATAATTAATTTTTTTATTCATTTAAAATTTATAATATTAAATATATTTATTTAATTAATAATATATATAAATTATATAAAAATTATCTTTATATCACTTTTGTTTGACTTATCTTATAAAACATCCATAAGGAAAATATATTTTTAATTTGGAAATCCGGGTGAGGTCGTAGTTAGAAACTTAGAATCGTCCGAATGACGTGCGTCATTGACCCGACATCGATCGTCGCTACTAAAATGTGGGACACTGCCGTACAGGTAAGCAAAAAAGGTTAAATGCCAAATTTAGATATTGACTTTTTAATTTTGGATAATTTTAATTCTTAAATAATATTTTGCACCTTTTCCTTCTTTCAATTATAAAAAAAAAAAAAGTATTTTTTAGATTCTTCAATCAGATTTATCTATTAAATCTATATAGCTACCATTTTTCCCCCTTAAACTTTTGTTTTATGGATATTTTTAACTCTGAATTAATATTTATTATACATTTTTATTTATATTAGAATAGGTACCTAAACAGAAAAAGAGAAAAAAGAATACGTGCCTAATATATATTACTTCCCCATGATACATGGTAGCTAAAATTTTTCATTTTAGTTTAGATAATTATGATGCTTTTAAAATAATTTTTATGTAATTTAAAACTAATCATTTTTTAAATGATCTTAAAAATACATATTTATATCAATTTAATGAATTCAAAAAAATTAATTTATTTAGATATAGACTTCAAAACTTAAAGTTTAAACTCAACTCACAAAATAAGACATATCTGATAATGAATGCAACCTTTAAAATTATGAGAAAATAAAAAGTGTCTAGATTAATTAATTAATATTTGATGCTTAGCTTCCGTGGTAGTCTATATCTTTGTCTTTGAAGCACTTTGGTCCCATAAAAACCTGGATAGGGAAGTGCATAACTGAGACAGGTGAACCTCATAATAATGGTCAATAAATTAATTTGGGTTGACCGAAAATTTATTGTTTTCCATTTGACGAAAACGGGAGAAGTTGTAGCGAGTTTAGATTTGTACTTGTCATTGGGAGAAGTTGTAGCGAATTAGCTTTGTACTCGTCATTCCCACCTTTTTTTATTTTTTATTTTTTATTTTTAAGAGGGTGATCACCATATAATTTATTAATGATTTATTAATTTGAGTAAAAAAAATTTGATTTTTTTAGTTAAGATTTCAAATTTGAATTTTATGAATGAAAAAACATGTATTAAAAGAATTTTTCTTTAATAAGTCCGATGCCACTCAATTCAAATTAATTAGAATAATAATAATAAAAAAAAAAACATTATAACCTAGCAAGAGTCAAAAAATCTACCGATGGATATTTAGTGGGTGGATTGGTTCTCTATCAGGAAAAAGAGACCAAACTGTGGCAATAAAAAGTTATGGTTGTAAGTCAGTTGTGCCTGCCAATTAATTGGAAGTGGTATTGAACGAAATCTTTATACAAATCGTTCTTGGAATGGATCGACCTCCAAAGTGTTAGTATGTACATGCGTGATGTAAGTAATGTGTGATTAATTCAGTTCCCCACCCCACTTGCGAACATCTGGCAAATATCAAATCTTGAACAATTAGGAGGTGAATATCAAGTAATATTATTGAATCTCATTATAAAACTCAATCAATTGCTTAACAATATAAGAAATCACATAATTTTTATATTGACTTAATACATTTTAACAAATTAATTTAAGATTTTTTATTTTATAATTAGAATTTCAAAATTAAAATTTTTAGATAGGAGAAGAGAATTCAATATCGAAAAATCCTCTTCTAATTTAAAAATGAATATCTTATAATGTGATACAATTTAAAATAATTTTTTATTTTTTTTAAATACTGATATCAAAACTTGAATTTTGGATTTGATATCCATTCCTATCATTATGGTATTAGTAGGCCGACTAAAAAAAGAGCAGTCAACTCAACTTGCCCATTGTCTCCCTGCCTTTTTAAACGTCAACGTTGTTGTCTGCCTAGTTTGGTTTACACATCAGACCAAGATCTTTAGATTTTGTTTTGACCATGTTAGATTTCTTGGTAAGACAGGTAGAATAGAAGGTCTAATAAGATATTTGGAATAAAAGAATCATTATAAAATGGTTACCTAAAAGACCTAAATTAATTTCCAATCTTAGATTCAAGGCTCAAATTGGTCATACAAAATAAAAAGATCGAAGACATGCCCATGTAAAAGCCCAACCAAGTTGGATTTTGGGTTTTCCATAAAAATAAGTTGGGTTTTGGGTTTAACGGTGAAGTTCAGAAACTCCAAAAGACTAAGGAGCTGAGAGAGTGAGAGCTTTCTCATTGACTCAAAAAGCCCAGAGGCCCACTATGTTGGGTGGTATATAATTGAATGGAAAAAGAAAGAAGCTTTATTTTGCTTTGCCAAAATGTGGTCCATGTTCCCCCTGAAAGGAGACAACCAAGAAAAGGTAATAATTAGATGATATTATTTCTTTGGATCCCACCATGTTTGTCATACGATCACTTCACTTGAGCTTCTTTGGATTTGCTTTTCTGAGGCTGTTTCTGGGAGCCATGATTCTTGCATAACGGGCTTGATTTTTGGAGCCATGATTCCTCCATCAAGAATCTCCATATTTTTATTTCTTTTAAAAAATTTAGTTTGGTGTTTTGTAATAAGGTGTTATTTTTTATTGTCTAACTTATTTTAAATTATAAAAGAGGAACTATATAATAAAAAGAGAGCTTTTGATATTAGAAGTATTTTTCCCTTTAAATAGTTAATGTTTTATAAGTTAAATTATAAAATATTTTATTTATAATATATAATAATTTAAATAAGAATATATCAATTGTTAAGTGACATTTTTTTTTTAACATAAAGAGTATGATTCAAATTTCATATTTTTAAATTTAGTACAAAAAGTCTTTATAAGGATGAGATACTAACTAAGCCACAATTATGTTTTAAATTGTTAAATGAATAATTGTTCTTTAATTACAACGAATTCTTCATAATTTAATAATTAACATTTTGTAGTTGGATATTATTTGATTTACAAAATACATTTTTATAAAAAATTATTCGCATAGCTCTATGGATCCACATCCACATCCACTTTTCAATTGTTTTTATTTTCAGCTTTATTATTAGTAGGTAGGAAAATAGTAAATAGGTTTTTGTAACATCACATCCTCTACACCACTGCCTCGGCTCTTATATTAACCTCAGCTTTTATGAGACAAACAGTTGATGTTATTTTGTAGGTTGCTGTGTTTGCTCAACACGAACTAACGCAAGCACGCACAGATTTAACAAATGGCCAAAGGTTTCAAGATCAAGATTTCCAGAGTCTTCCCCTTCAAATCTTGCCGATCCAGACATCCCTCCACTCTCCCCTTCACTCCTGTCCCTTCTTTCTCCCGACTTCCTCCAGTCAACCTCCATTTCCCTCCTCCACCACCGCCACCACCGTCATCGAAGCCATATTACTCCTCCATAAAACGCCATGTTTCGTCCGCGTTTTCATCCATGGGTTGTAGCTTCGGGTCAAGATCCAGCTCTCACTACCTCTCTGATACGGACTACACCGATTCACCGCCACCTCCCACACCAGAATTCCACTGGGAAAAAGATCACAAATGGCACGTGATTGCCAAAGTCCAAGACGACGGAAGTAACGACACTCGCCGGGTCAAAATTGCCGAATCCTTCGACAACGACGGTGTTTTACCTCCTCCGCCACGTCCCAACACGGAGGACAAGCAACGGCTACAGAGGAAGAAGAAAACGACAAGCAAGATTCGAATAAGTACTACGTCGTCCGGAGATAGTGGCTTATTCAGCAGCGAAAGCTTCGACGACGAAGAGACAGAAACCTTAGTCTCACCTCCTAGAAGCTTCTCGACAGATTCGAGTACCAGGAGGCATAAAAAGAAGGGAAACAAGAGAAAGGTGAGACGGTGCATTTTGAGGGAGATGAATCCGAGGTTGTCGTCGGCGTCGGAGAGCGATTCACCGGCGAGGTTATCGTTGTTTTTGCAGAGGATGATATCGAGCGCGGTGGAGGGGAAGGTGAGGGAGAGCTTTGCGGTGGTGAAGAGGTCGGAGGACCCATATGAGGATTTCAAGAGGTCGATGGTGGAGATGATATTGGAGAAGCAGATGTTCGAAGAAAAAGATCTGGAGCAGCTCTTGCAGTGTTTCTTGTCGTTGAATTCCCAGCAACACCATGAGGTGATAGTCCAGGCTTTCGTTGAGATTTGGGAGGCTTTGTTTTGTGGAAGATCCACGAGCTTTAGGGTTTCTTGATTTAGAAGATGTAAGTCATCAAAATAATGAATAAATTACCATTTTTTTGGTAAATCGTAAGTTAATTAATATAGTGTAAGACTAGCATGTGATGTATTACATATTAATTAATATTGGGTTTCATGTACCATATTGCTAATTTCAATATTAATAAAATTATATATATAGTGGTGTTTGTTTAATTTAGTTGTTAAAAGTAATTAATAATAATTGTTAATTAATAATTAATAAATAAATTAATATTAATTTATATATTAATATTTTTAAATATCATAATTAATTAATTATAAATATATAAATTTCTGTAGCTATAATTATACCTACTAACAAGTTAGAAAAGAATATAATTTATCCAAACAACCAATTAATAAAAAAAAATCGTTTGTAAAGTAAATATAGTCAATTACAAATGGTGTGCCCTAATAATAATAACAAATAATAATAAGACAGATTACTTTTTTTGGTTTTTTAAACAATGAAACAAATTTATTAATTTAGAGAATTAAGAATAAGTTATAAATATGTATAATTTTTGCATTACCTATTTAATTTTAAATAATTCA